ATGTTGGGCTGATCTGATCTGAGTGCCGTGAGCTATTGTAAGTTTTGCAACTGCTAGCAATCTTTGTGTTCTGAACTGGACTATGTTATTTGGATTATCCCTTAACTGAAAGACATTGATGACTGGCTGTGTATTATCCGTGTATGACTTGGACTGTTTGATGGACTCTGATACCTCTATTTCCACAAAAGTAAAAGCCTACTTAAACTGCAGTGTCTCTGTATGCTGGTTTGTGTGTGCTCCAACAACACTCTCACAACACTTCTCTGAATGCACTCGCTCTCCCAACGGGGAGCTTACCTAACAGTTGCGATGTTCAAAATTAACACGATGTGTGATCTGAACAGCTTGACACAATGGTTGGATATGGGAGATTCCATTCTATACCCTACAATGAGCGTCTCTGCATTTGCGGAGCGGCAGAGGGAGAAGACCTGGCTCACAGGTGAGAAACAGCCCCTTAGTCCGTATACCAAACGAATGACCCATTGGGATCCCCACACCAAAACAACTTACCGTATTTTTTGGACTATAAGACACACTGGTGTATAAGACACACCAAGATTTCGAAGATGTAAGTAAGAAAAAAAGTTTTTGCCTTCCCTCAGCCCCCAGCAGCATTGGGGCATTTTTGCCTTGCCCCAACCCTGCTGAAGCTTGCAGAGGGCTGCTGGGAGCTGAGGGAAGGCAAAAAAGCCTCAATTTTTTTCAGAAATTGGCCCGTTTTTCACAAAAATGGGATGTGGGGGCAGGGCTTCGGGAGGCAAAAAATGGCTGTATTCAGTGTATAAGATGCAGCAACATTTCCACGCTCTTTTAGGGGGGGGGAAGATGCATCTTATACTCTAAAAAATACAGTACTTTATGTGTGACCAGAACCTGAAAATAACATTTAATATAGCACAGTGTTTAAACCAAATGGTTTGGTTGAGATCTGCATATGTGGGACTGATTGGGATAGATTGTAAGGGTGATACCGAAATATTATTTTAATGTCATTTTATTCTATTTAACATACTTATGTATTAAATTATATTGTATCTTATCATATAACTATTGTATTTACCCTACCCTTATTTTAAATTATTTGTATAGGGTTTTATTGGGGTATGTGTTTGAACCTTTTGCTTTGATATGGCCTATAGGCTAATCAATAAAGCTATAAGTAAACAAGTAAGTAATTAACGTAGTTCACACCATTATATTGTGAGCTTAATATTCAAAGTTGGCTGAATGCAGATGGAGAGCCTTATGTCTCAATAATTGCAAGTATTACATATTTAATTTCCCCCCCTGACTGTACTTGTCACAATCTCCTTCAGGCCCTGCTGTGCTACCACACACATCATGATGTGCAGCTATTCCTGGGAAGAATGAGAAAAAATATTGGGAGTGTATATTCACCCGACTGCCCAGCCAAAGCAAGTATAGTTAGTCCTCAACTTATGACCACAATTGGGACCAGAATTTCCGTAGTAAATTGTTGCAATTGTTAGGTCAAAATTAAGTATAAAGACAACCAAACTAATGACAACAGATAGAGCAACCAGCCTTGTGGTGCAGATAGAGATGTGGTGGTGCAGTGGTTAGAGTGCAGTACTGCAGGCTACCTCTGCTGACTGCTGACTGCCTGCAGTTTGGCAGTTTGACCTTCACTGGCTCAAGGTCGACTCAGCCTTCCATCCTTCCAAAGTCAGTAAAATGGAGTACCCAGATTGTTGTGGGGGAAATATGCTGACTCTGCAGACCGCTTAGAGAGGGCTGTAAAGCACTGTGAAGTGGTATGTAAGTCTAAGTGCTATTGCTTGCAGCTGACAATGATGATATTGAAATGGCTTTTAAGATCAGCAATAAAGGAACAAGCAATCCTCTAATCCACCACAGGCTAGTGTTTTGTAAAGCAGCCACGAAGGCTTTGGAACATGATTCTAATGATGTGATGTGTCTGTATTTGCAAAGATGCAACCTGTGACACTCTATGGAAACAAAAGTTGGACTTTAAAAAAGACTCCAGAGTATATTCTGACAACCAAGAAAACAAATGAATGGATTATCCAACAAATCAACCCAGAATTCTTACTCCAGGTACAAGCAACCAGGTTCAAATTGTCCTAGATTGTCCTTGAGCAAAGCTCTCTATGTGACTGCTGGGAAACGAAAATGATTTGATGACACACGATCAGCTTGGACAGTACAAAAAATAGAAGAACTTTTGTAACTTTAATGTGTTAGTCAGCTTTTAGTATTGATTGTTGTATGCTGTTCAAAGTCACTTCATTTGAGGCAGGCAGCTTACTAAATAAATAAAATATTATTGTAACACTAAGGATAAACATGAGACTGTTACAGAATCAGCAATCCATAATGTAATTCATTAGCAAAAGAATAGATTGCACATTATACCACAAGACACATAACATTAATATGAATTGGAGTTGCAGTTCCAAAATACCAGATTTGGGGTGGGCTATCCATTAAAAAAAATATAACCATTCGTATAATAATATAAGGGTCACTTAAAACATTGCAATAAAAGTGCAAGTAGAAAAGGCTTCCAGGCTGAGGTTTTCATGGAAAATTCCCAGTCTGTTTCTAATTTCTTTGCCATTCCCAATCTTGAGTTTTACTAATCATGCAAAAATAGCACAACTTGGGAGTGGATGGTTTTCAGTTAGGAGAAACAAGTGAAGCCTACAGCACCTTGGACAGCTCATAAGATGAAGAAATCATTAGATGGAGCAAGCCTGACTAAATGACCTTAACAATATCTTAAGAAAAATTAATGTCTGCTCCTGATCCATGTTTCTTGTCTGAGGAGGGATACAGATGCAATATATACAACTTTATTTTTACGATATTTTTAAATGTAGGAACTATTTTATTGCCTTACCTGGAGGACCCCGATCCCCTGGCTGTCCAGGAGGGCCAGGTACGTAAGCATTGGATGCAAGCACTTTTTCTCCTGTGATTGGCTTATTAAGGTCAACAGCATTATTTGGTAGCCAAGCAACCTGAAATAAAAGAAGGGTCATAGGCTAGAAGCCACTTGCCTATTCAACTTCATCTAGTTGAGTGACTGACTTCATCAAGCAGTTGTGCAAGTTCTTCAATTCAATGCAGGACTAACTACCTTGTCCGTAACTCTAAGTTTGGAAGCCTCAAAGTGATAGAGTGGATAGCACGGCTGGCTGCGATAGGAAGCACCTTCTGTTTCCCAGCTTTCCTCCTTTTACCGAATAAAATGAGATAGCCTCCATGTGTATACTGTCTTGCATAACTTGAAGGTACCACGTAAATATAATTAAAAAACCAAGACAAATGATAGCCTATATTTTCTATGTTCAGATTCAAATTGCAGCTGAGGACCAAAGTCAGAAGAGTAGATTTGATTTCTGCCATGTCGCTTAGCATAGTGTAGCTCTTCCCCTACCCCGAAAACTCTGCTACATGTGAGGCCTCAGCTAGGCAACTACTTTGCCTTTTATGATCACAGTCAGAACTGTGATCTAACTGTTTGCAAAGGGGACAAAACGATTGATGTCCAGTCTGACACACGGAAGGATTAAATGTATTGATGGATCTGCATGCCGAGAAAAGAAAGTAGGATTTAGAATGAAGGGCAAAATCCAATTCAGGTGCTGCCTCATACCCACACTGTGTTTACAAGCAGTTTGTTAGGATCTACAGCTATGGTATGACCCAAATCTCTCATCAGGACTGAAAGCCCAAGCTGCAAATATTCTGAAAGACCACATCCACAGTTCCTTAACATTGGTGATATGGGCTGGAGGGATTACTGGGATCTGAAGTTAGATACCTGCTTGCACTGGCCTGAACTGCTTGATGAAGGATTCGTATTTAGAATAGACTAGAAGAAGAGAGTTGGAAGGGATCTTGGAGGTGTTCTAGTCCAACCCTCTGCTTAGGCAGGAAACCCTACACCACTTCAGACAAATGGTTATTCAATCTCTTCTTAAAAACTTCCAGTGTTGGAGAATTCACAACTTGTTCACTGATTAATTGTTCTAACTGTGAGGAAATTTCTCCTTAGTTCTAAGTTGCTTCTCTCCTTGATTAGTTTTCATCCATTGCTTCTTGTCCTACCCTCAGGTGCTTTGGAGAATAGTTTGACTCCCTCTTCTTTGTGGCAATCCCTGAGATATCAGAACATTGCTATCATGTCTTCCCTAGTCCTTCTTTTCCTTAAACTAGACATATCCAGTTCTTGCAACCGTTCTTCATATGTTTTAACGTCCAGTCCCCTAATCATTTTTGTTGCTCTTCTCTGCACACTTTCTAGAGTCTCAACATGTTTT